TCTCTATAATTATTACAAAAACACAAAATAATAAAAATAAGTATTTATATTTGTGTATATAAGTGTTTAGATTGTCCAAAATTCTGTGTTTTTAGGGTTATTTAAGAAGTTTGTGTACTTAGACCAGTAATATTTGGGGTCACAAGTTTTTGCCATGAATATTTTGTGGGTCAGAAGACAAAAAGTTTGGGAACCACTGCCCTAAAGCACTACAGCGCTAACTGTAGACCTAAATTTCTCATTTGCAATTTAGGGCTTCTGACTATATGTCAGGCTTCACCATTGCACGGCCACCCTGTAGCGAGTAGTTGCAACACAGACATTCTGTCGTTAACAAAAGTTAAACATTGAGCAACTGCAGGTGGAGAAGATTCACTCTGGCTATGTTCTGAGAAGTGCTGGACTCCACTAGAATTCCTTCCCGACTTTCCAAACATGTTTTGAAATCTGATCTGAGTTCAGGAAAAAAATGATAGTAACTGTCCAGTTGTTCATTTGTGTTTTCTCAGCCTCCTTTTGTGCATGAAATGTAACAGTGTTTTGCTATCATTATTAATGACTGCTTTCAGGGCTAAGAGCTGAAACGATTTTCCAGCAGAACGTACAGGTTTGACGATCCACTTCTGTTTGGAGCCACTGTCCTCCCAGGCTCTCCGGAGCAGCTTCATGTCCTGAGGAAGGACGAACGTTCGAGGGATGAAGTTGAACTCCTGTTTGCCAAAATGAAGTTGCATCTTGGACAGATTCCTCCACAGCCGATCCTTCCTGCCAATCTGAAAAGTTCCTGGGAAGTGGTTCAGCTGAAAAAACACATAAATAAATAGAGGCCACATTATCTGTTGGGTTTGTTGGGACACTAAACGGGATCAGGTTCAGGTTCTCACCTTCTGGTGCTCTCCAAGTGCCTTGAAGCCAGGAGACTTCATGTGGTGTCCCCAGCATCCCAACCAGTCGTGGCTTTCTGCTAAAACAGATTTCACTTAACCAGGATCAGGAATTTACAGCTGCGGTGAAAAGAAATGTGTCCTGTGTAAAAGGTGCAAACTGAAACCAACCCCTGAAGAGGTTCTGCTGCCTCAAACCAGAAAACCTTAAAGACCTACCATTCCTTTAAAGAGTGCATTTTGCTCCCTGCCTTTTATACCAGAGGTTTAAAAGATGATTTTTGTAWGAGTTTTAAATATTTTGGTCAAACCTTGAAAATAATGTAATGCTCAAGATGTGGGCATTCTTTAAACAGGGTCTAAATGGTCTCATGTTTTATGTGTGAAGCTATTTCAGGAGATTAAGTGCTACAACTCACTCTTGGTGACCTTGAAGTGTGACCTGRCGATGGTGTGCTTGACGATGTTTGGCGTGACTGTGCTCATCTTCCATTTCAGCAGTCGTCTTTCTTCTACAGGCAGCAGCTCCACTGCAGAAMAGACAACACACAAGTTTTTTAGAGGGCGACACATTTACACTCTACAAACTATCATACGAACAGTTCAGAGGCTGTTCAGACTTCATACTTTGTTTACATTTGTTTTGAAGGGATCCACGATTAGTTGTAACATTAAAATTTATTTGATAAACATTTATTTTAACTGTAAAATAAAGACTGTAAAAATACTGTAGGCTGTTTGGTTTTGTAAACTAAAAAACATTTTAACACGGATGGATCCATTTTATTTACACACAAAGCATTCTGGGTAAATGATGACGTGGATAGGTCATCGTTGTGAGGCTGCTAGCGAGCTATATCCAC